GGGGGAGGGGGGGGGGGGGGGTTCTTATCCCTCAGCATACCCACTTAAAAAAAAAAAAGTCACCGCTCGCCACTGATATATATACAATTCATATGCTCAGGGATTAAAGTTTTCCGTTCATAAAGTCACTCGCTTGCTTCATTCCTGAATGATTCAACTGTTCGAAAGAATCAATTGAATGAATGATTCAGTGATAAAATCAGTGACTTGCCTCCACCTGCTGGCGGATTTAGTTTCATTTTTAGCGTATAATTTCAGTTATTTAAATCATTTAATATTTCTGTATTCAAAATTTTATATTTAAAACATTAATCGCCACCTGAATTTATGAATTTAATTGCACTCATGCCACCTCTGAGTCTCATTAAACGTATGAAAATGTACCTACAAGCCACTTTTGTTCTTCTGTGCCACCTCTGTAGTACAAATTAATTTATTAATACTAATTTCAGATGATTGGTAACTTATTTGTCTTATTCTACTTCTTATTATATTGTTTTAAATAGAAACATTAAAAAGCTTATAAACATACATTTTTGAATTTGACAAATGAAAATTATGCCATTACAAAGGTAAAAAGAAAATACTCCTGTAAGTCACTTTAAGGAGTCAAATGTCACCTCGTATTAGGAAGGCTAATTTTTTTATCAGAATTGTTTATTATTGATCAGAAGGTGCTCCTAAATTTTAAGGTGCTCCTAATTTCTCCTAAATTAGGAGGACAAGCGCTCCTAATTAACAAGAAGGAATATTGGTAACTTATTTGTCTTATTCTACTTCTTATTATATTGTTTTAAATAGAAACATTAAAAAGCTTATAAACATACATTTTTGAATTTGACAAATGAAAATTATGCCATTACAAAGGTAAAAAGAAAATACTCCTGTAAGTCACTTTAAGGAGTCAAATGTCACCTCGTATTAGGAAGGCTAATTTTTTTATCAGAATTGTTTATTATTGATCAGAAGGTGCTCCTAAATTTTAAGGTGCTCCTAATTTCTCCTAAATTAGGAGGACAAGCGCTCCTAATTAACAAGAAGGAATAACTGCTCTTAAACTGGGTGTGTGACAGGTACGGCTGAGGAATGGGGTTTGGTCGAAAAAAACATTTCAGCCAAAAGATTTTTTTGCTTTAACCCCTGCAATAAAATAAGTAGAATAAGACAAATAAGTTACCAATCATATGAAATTAGTATTAATAAATTAATTTGTACTACAGAGGTGGTACAGAAGAACACAAAAGTGTTTAATGAGACTCAGAGGTGGCATGAGTGCAATTAAATTCATAAATTCAGGTGGAGATTAAGGTTTTAAATATAAGATTTTGAACACAAAAATATTAAATGATTTAAATAACTGAAATTATAGGCTAAAAATTTAACTAAATCCGCCAGCAGGTGGAGGCAAGTCACTGATTTTATCACTGAATCACTCATTCAATTGATTCGTTCGAACGGCTGAATCATTCAGGAATGAAGCAAGTGACTGTCTTTATGAACTGACGGAAATCCGTCATAGTGATGGAAAACTTTAATCCCTGTATGCTTACTGACAATAGACCATTGATCTTTTTGCTGACAAAATTTGCAAATGTGACCACACTTTTAGCTTGTTCATCACAATTGACTGGAAGAGTCATGTGAATCCATTGGTTAAAAAGAGCAAGATCACTGAAATCAACTGCTAATCATCCCCATTTAATGATTGGATTCGTCACTGATTTTATCACTGAATCACTCATTCAATTGATTCGTTCGAACGGCTGAATCATTCAGGAATGAAGCAAGTGACTGTCTTTATGAACTGACGGAAATCCGTCATAGTGATGGAAAACTTTAATCCCTGTATGCTTACTGACAATAGACCATTGATCTTTTTGCTGACAAAATTTGCAAATGTGACCACACTTTTAGCTTGTTCATCACAATTGACTGGAAGAGTCATGTGAATCCATTGGTTAAAAAGAGCAAGATCACTGAAATCAACTGCTAATCATCCCCATTTAATGATTGGATTCATCACTCTGTCTCCTCTCCACCAATAAGCTGATGTGTGGTGGGCATTCTGGTGCACTATGGCTGCCGTCACATCATCCAGGTGGATGCTGCACACTGGTGGTGGATGAATAGATCCCCCCTCACAATGTAAAGCACTTTGCTAAGAAAAAGTGCTATATAAATGTAATTAATTATTATTATTCAAAATATTCTTGAAAAAAATAAATAAATAGGGCTTTCAAATATTGTTGTAAATGGGGACCTTGGAGTCAAAAAAGTTGAGAACCACTGCACTACAGGTACAATAACAGTAGTAATACATCACAAGCCCTTGTTATCAGGCATCCCTAGGTCACCTAATCCAAATTTTAGACCCAAACTACAAAAACTGTATATTAATCACATATTGTTTAAAATAATACCTTTTTCTGCAAGGACTTAAGTCTGTAGTTTGGTGCGGTGAGACAGTAGCGGTCTGGTGGAAGGCGTGGACCGGTGTATGGTTTGATCAGAGGCAAAGGAGTTTGGTTCTTCTGCCTTGCAATGTCCAACAGAAACTGAAACCATGGACCAGCCACCACTATTAATTACCAGAAGTCACATATGTGTTATGCATTAAGAAAAAAGTCAACGAGAACAACTTACATCTCGTGGTGGAGGAGATGTGAATGACTGATCCACTCGACACTGGATTGCTAGCCTTATATCATCTGCATCCACATTGGACTTCTTGGCATGAGTGGAATATATTTTTGCATCTTCAATTATAGTTGTTACGTATCCTGGGGGGAAAACAAAAAACATCTGACTGTGATTGTTCAAATGTTATTGGACGACTTACTAGTACAGAACAGTGACCGCTGGAGTTTGTGAAAGCATTTTACAATATGCTGAAGGGTTAAAGTCATCCTGACTTACTGTATGTAAACTCAAGCATTTGATTGATCACTCTGGGATCGTACTCCGTGATTCCCATGTCTTTAAGAATCTGCATCATAACCTTTGAAGACAATAACAAAAAGCAAAAACTGAACAAGGAAAATATCATGCAAATTATATATATAGATATATGGTAAATAATATATCTGTACATTCATTTAAACAATTATATGTTTTCTCTATATAGTGCATTATTTATTTTTCTGTTATTTCATCTTTACTGTGTAATTCTATGCATGTCTGCACTATGTGTGTACTTTCTTCTGCACTGGAAACTCCTGTCGCCAAGTCAAATTCCTTATGTGTAAACATACTTGGTAATAAAGCTCTTCTGATTCTGATATTAGCATCATCGCTGCATCTTTGCAGCATGCACCAGCAAATATCTTACTTTACATTTTCACGCATAAATCATAAATGCATGACCTTTATATTCATAAAAATATGGTAAATTATAACACATTGTGGTATAATCGAGCCGAATTAAAAATGCATTACACAGTTAACGCTAACGTTACCAGTTAGCGTGCTAACGCATGTGTGTGCACAAAGAAGAATAAGATTAATAAAATATACAGTCGCTTTGTATACATGCTGCTTTAATCGCTGTGGTTTAAAAAACAATAAATGTTGCACAACACGGAGATAAAACAGTTTCTGAAGCATTATTTACCTGGGCATCTTTAGGCACTGTTTTCGGAGACGCCATTTTCGCATGAGCTCTGATTCTCCTCCCCTGATTCTGAATACTTGTCTTTCAAAACGTAGTGAGCTGCCTACCTAGACAGCATTTTAGCAACCTTAGGCGGTGCCGAAACAGAGCAGCCACTCTGGATGAAGAAACTATGAGTGGCAGAGACAAGCAGCCAATCACAGAGAGATCATCAAATACTCCGCCAACAGTGACGCGCCAAGTGAACCGAACAGCCAATGAAGAGTTCCTACTGAGATTGACGCCAATTACAATCGTTTTGTTCTTGGGAATTTATTGAAATTTAAAGTGTCCATGTTCAGTTTCTTACAACCACGTTTTAACTCATAAAAAGTTATTTTGAGCCTAAATATAATTAGCATTTACAACATTAAACAATATTCAAATGAATTTCTATATTTAATAACATACTATTTTTAAAATTCCTCTCTTTTTTTTTTACGTGCTTTGATAAAACTTAAATTAAGTTGTAAACATATTTCCAGTACGTTTTACTCCTGAAATTTCTGCGATTCCCTCATAATCTGGGACCGATTCACACTGATCCGTCAACGAACGTTCAACCAGGGCTGCGTTTCTCAAAAGCATGTGTAGATCGTAGAACCATTGACACCAATGGTCTCTAAAAGATCAATTTAGCTCACGATGCTTTTGAGAATTGCAGCCCAGTTAATTGAAAAGCTTCGACTCAAAAGAACGATTCTTACACACACACACACACACACACACACACACACACGCATACACACACACACGTCTGGTGCACTATCCTTGTAGGGACCCTCCATAAGCGTAATGGTTTTTATACTGTACAAACTGTATTTTCTATCGCCCTACACCAACCCTACATCTAAACCTACCCCTCACAGAAAACTTTCTGCATTTTTACAATCTCTAAAAAAAACTCGTTCTGTATTATTTATAAGCTTTTTTACCCATGGGGACCTCAATTTAGGTCCCCACGGTGACACAAGTCCCCATGAGTTGGTGTGTATTCAGGTGTGTCCCCACCAGTGTAGAAAAACCTGTAAACACACACACACATACGGTGACGCATTGCTGCCACACACATATTATTTTTTCCACTCAATTATGTCGTAATAACGAGATGTTATGTCGTTTTAATGACATCTTTTCTCGTTAAAACGACATCTTTTCTCGTAATAACGAGATGTTTTCTCATTAAAACGACATATTTTTAAAATGTTTTAATGTTTTCTCGTTAAAACGACATCTTTTCTCGTAATAACGAGATGTTTTCTCATTAAAACGACATATTTTTAAAATGTTTTAATGTTTTAATGTTTTCTCGTTAAAACGACATATTTTCTCGTAATAACGAGATGTTTTCTCGTTAAAATTACATCTTTTCTCGTAATAACGAGATGTTTTCTCATTAAAACGACATATTTTAAAAATGTTTTAATGTTTTCTCGTTAAAACGACATCTTTTCTCGTAATAACGAGATGTTTTCTCGTTAAAATTACATATTTTCTCGTAATAATGAGATGTTTTCTCATTAAAACGACATATTTTAAAAATGTTTAAATGTTTTAATGTTTTCTCGTTAAAACGACATCTTTTTTCGTAATAACGAGATGTTTTCTCGTTAAAACGACATATTTTCTCGTAATAACGAGATGTTTTCTCGTTAAAACGACATATTTTCTCGTAATAACGAGATGTTTTCTCGTTAAAACGACATATTTTCTCGTAATAACGAGATGTTTTCTCGTTAAAACGACATATTTTCTCGTAATAACGAGATGTTTTCTCGTTAAAACGACATATTTTCTCGTAATAACGAGATGTTTTCTCGTTAAAACGACATATTTTCTCGTAATAACGAGATGTTTTCTCGTTAAAACGACATATTTTCTCGTAATAACGAGATGTTTTCTCGTTAAAACGACATATTTTCTCGTAATAACGAGATGTTTTCTCGTTAAAACGACATATTTTCTCGTAATAACGAGATGTTTTCTCGTTAAAACGACATCTTTTCTCGTAATAACGAGATGTTTTCTCGTTAAAACGACATCTTTTCTTGTTAAAACTACATATTTTTTCTGGTAATAACGACATATTATGTCATAAAAACTACATGTTTTCCGTTATTATAGATAGATAGGCTATATATACATTATGTGAGCGAGCTAAGCGTAACGACATATTATGTCATAAAAACTACATGTTTTCCGTTATTATAGATAGATAGGCTATATGTACATTATGTGAGCGAGCTAAGCGACTGCACGCGCTGCTCTCGCCACAGTCTGACATAAACGAGGATCTGCACGCTGCTGAAATGATTGAAATACACTGTTTTAAATGTATTTTAATGTAATGGTTTTAATTGTAGCGGCATGTTTATTAGGATTAATCTCCAGTCTGTCTACAGTGCTATCCAATAACTGCACTCAGACCCATGACTCCTTTAGGCTATGATTTTATGAGAAAACATCTCATTTTAACGAGAAAAGATGTCGTTTTAACGAGAAAATATGTTGTTGTAACGAGAAAACATCTCGTTATTATGAGAAAAGATGTCGTTAAAACGAGAAAACATCTCGTTATTATGAGATAATTGAGTGGAAAAAATAATATGTGTGCGGCAGCAATGCGTCACCGTACACACACACACACACACACACACACACACACACACACACACACACACACACACACACACTTTTTTCTCTTCTCTCTTGATATCAACGCCTCACACTCCATCCCAGTAGGTGGCGGAATATGCACTTAAAGCTGGTTTGCCAACCGCAATTAAACGTCAAAGAAGAAGAAAAATAAGACGAATACACACACACGCACGCACACTAGTTTATTCCAGCCAGCAATACACACTACAGTTCCTCATTGACCGAATACATAACACTTGTCAGCCCATTTACTGTAGTTTTTTTTCCATGCAAACGGGGAATTTTTTTTTCACATTTACATTTAGTCATGTTGAACGCTAAGCTGTTTTCTTCTGTCGTATTAGGGTGAAAAACGTTCAACATATCACTTAACGTTAATATTTTATTTTTTTGAACGTGTTCTCATATATGTGTGTTGTGGTTCGCTGCTTCTGTGTTTACACGTCAAGTAGTTTTCAGTTTTATTATTATGAGCTTGTGTGGCACATCAGTGTGGATTGCTAACTAAACCATTAGCCACCCAGTTACAGTATTTGTCAGAAGTCTCGTCAACAGATACACCAAGAGCCTAGGTAAGTGAAAAAAATGTGAGAACGCCAATTAACCTCTAGTGTGTTTCATATGGATACTATTTAGTTTGATATATTGAGACGTACAGTAGTACTGTAGATGTACAGTAGTAGTGACAAATCTTATAAACACAACACTTTTAAAGAGACTGTTTTTTTTAAACGAAAATAATATACTTTAAAAGAATATCATTACGTACTGACTGCACGTAATGCTTTCGAACTCTTAACTGCACGTTATGTGCAATTAAATGAAAGTGTATCTATGGTAATCAAAAGTAGATTTATTGTCATTTTTATTTAAACTGGAATGTCATATATTTAAACATATTTGTAATTTACGCATTTGTAACGATGTTGCAGTTTAATACATTTAAAATATATTGACTTTAAATGTAATATTAATTAAATTTCATACTACAGTTAAAATGTTAACTGGCCTCTAACTCAAGTACTTTGCATGTGCGTTAATATGTCAGTCAACGACATGGTCATGAAAGTGTATTCTCTTTAAGTGGCGTTTTATTTGATTAATATTTTACCTGCAAGTACAGATTTATTTATTTATTTTGCAATAAAAGGGCACATTCAATACAATTAATCGCTTTTCTTTCCGCCAGGATAATACTGTCCATATCTATCAGGTTGTAATATGCCTTATATAAACCCTTATGTGAACTTTCCTACATTTTTTTCTTTAGTGTCTTTTTCTACAAACCCACATAATCATGACTGCCATGCGAGTGGATGCTAAGGTGGTCATGCTTGGCAAGGAGAGTGTGGGTAAAACCAGTCTGGTGGAGAGATACGTACATCGCCGGTTTCTTGTGGGACCATATCAAAATGTAATTATGTGTTAGCATAGCAACCTCTAGAAGTAATTAGTCCTTTAGAAGCAATTGATCATTTTCAGAGGTTGTATGTTCTCGTTAAAGATATTTTTGTGTATGATGTAAGTTTGACTGTCTATCAACAATCTCTAATCGTGTGTCATACTATAAACCAGCTCCACAGGTAAAGCCACCTTCCGCTGAGGTTAATGGCTTTTTTACGATGACTTGATATTAGTGATCGACCGATATTGATATTTTATAACCGATACCAATTATTTGCGTGTTTATGTGCCCGATAACCGATATGCAGAACCGATATTTATAAAGTAAATAAATGAGTGAAGTAAGTCCATATTTCACTTTGGTTTTTCCTCCTTTCAGCCATCTTAAAAAAAAAAAAAAAAAAAAAGTGTTGAAAATGACCAGTCTTTCATGTTAAATTTAATCTTCATATTACAATAAAAAAACATTTTATTTAAAGCATCAGCAGCAACACTAATATTAACAATAAGCAAAATAAATGTAGAAGGTCTAATGTTTTCAAATGAAGAAAATAAATAAATGAAAGGATTCATATCAACTTCATTTTAATCTACAGTTTTAGTAGGTTTATAAGCTGTTTAATAGGCTAAAGAGTGAAGAATAATTCATTGGATAATGTTAATTCACTGAATAATATTCTCTGGAATATTGAAATATAACAAACAAAACATTGTATTTTATTGTATTTCTCAACTGGCATGTTATATCAGAATTACTAATAATGTTTTTGTCGTTCTAGATTATGAAATGTCTGCTGACAGCACGGTTTATCTATGCAGTTACACAGAACTATACTCAAACTGCGATCACTCGTGGAGATAATAAATGAGTTTCCATAGAGATGTATTTATTTTGATGTTTATTAGCGAAATAATGATTATATAATCCGATATTACAAAACCGATATCCGATTATTGTAAAATGCTTAAATATCGGGAAAAACATCGGTAAATCACTATATCGGTCGATCTCTACTTGATAT